TGTATTTGGGGATGGGGATGGGGATGGGGATGGGGATGGGGATGGGGATGGGGAAATGGGTGTTAGAGGGCCCTGGAGCCGGGTACATGAAACGGGTACCAGTGGGTGGCAGGTTTGCATCTGGTTGGCGAGGAGCAGTGATGAAGAGACAACGCGGGACGTCAGCCGTGCGCCACGCGTCCCCTCCTGCCCTGCAACGGGCCGTTGCGTGCCGGCCCGCCGCACCTGCCACGACCAGGTCCCTCATCAGCACGTGCGTCTCCACGCCCCGCATGCTGAGCACCCCGAAGTCCCAGGCCAACCACGAGGAAAAGTTCTTGAGGCTGGTGCAGGGGGCACCCTCGAGGTTGTCCGCAAGGACCAGCGACACCAGGCTACTGTGGGCGCTGTTGCCCTCAAACACCTGCGCGCGCCGCGGCCGGCCGGGGGCGCCGGGCGTCGCCGCGGCGGCCGCCAGCGAGGCCGAGGGCGTGGCCGCGGGGCAGGCGTCGCCGGCGACGCGGAAGCCGATGCGGTGGCTGCCAGCGGCGACGTTGCCGCGGAGGGTGTTGTTGAGGGCGGCGGCGTCCAGGAGCTCGAAGGTGGCGGGCAGCTGCTGATCGAAGCTTGATTTTCCTGCAGGGTGTGGTTTGTGGTCGACAACACAAAGGACGCAATGAGCCCCTTGCCTGCAAATTGTCCTGCTCACACCACGGGGCTGCCCACCCATCTTGTGTCTTGCCGCAAGCGACCACCCCCTCTTCTGTGGACTGCCCTCAGGCTGGCAGCTTCGCGCAGACCGACTGCCCACCTGCCATGTCCTTAGACGTGCCCATTGCCAGGTTGTTGAGCAGCACGTTGTTGGGGCCGGCAATCACCACGGTGCTGCAGGTGGTTGCAGGCAAATTGTGAACCTCAGGCAAGAGTCGCGACATGCCTTGGTCACTTGTAAGGCAGAGAGAGGGTCACACCAGCCACAAACGGTTGCCCTCTAGACACAAGACCACGACACTACAGCAGCAGCTCAAGCAATGCAGCGCGCAAAACTACAAGCTTCTGCACACCTGACATCATAGCTCTCGTGGAAGACGCTGCCCTCGACCAGCACGCTGGCCGCAGACTCCAGCGGCGGCGGCCGCGCGCTTCCGCTGGCCGCCAGCAGCCGCAGCGACGCGTCCTGCCCCCGGAAGGTGGCGACGCCCGACAGGTAGCTGCCGCCCGCCGCCGAGCTGCTGGCGTTCGAGCCGCCGCTCGACCCAGCCGTCGCGTTTGCGAGCCTGCGACTCACCGGGTTGGCGGGTGGGTTTGGCATGTTAGACAGGGGCTGAAACGGTCAAAATGGGGGGTCATGCAAGCAGTGATGGAGCGCTGTCCCAGCCGTTAGAGTCGCTGTTGGTCCCAGAGGCTGCAGCGCTGGTGCGTCGGCAACTGTCCCTTGGAATGCAGGCGCCCGTTCACCCTTGGAACTGCCAGCAGGCGCGCTGGAGGCCTGACTGGCCGCAGTAGCGGGAGGCCACCTGGGACACCCTCACAGTGGTCCCAGTGCCTGCGCACCAAAAAAGCAGACGGCAGACTACGTAATTGAATGGGAGCCTTGACCCAGCATACTCATGCGATTGTGGCTTGGGGGCCCGCTGCAGGCAGGCACATGCAAGCACGGTGCACACTGCGTCGCTCCTGCAACCCGGCCGCCCACCTGCCGCCAGCACGACCGGGCCAAATCTTGAGCCCCCGACCGCTGCAACAGACGCGGGGTCCTGCTCAGCGGGCACCACCAAGATGTTGCTGTCCAGCAGCGCCACCTCAGCGCGCATGTCCAGGTGATACGGGCTGCCGGGGTAGCTGTGCGATTGGCACACGCCAACGGGGGGAAGAGGGAAACTTGCACACGGCCTGATCGGCAAAACAAGGGCTTAGGTCCCGTCAACAACGTGAACCCGTTTCGATGTGTGATGCACCGCGTGCTGGCAACACGTTGTGGGGGCGCTGATCCGGAAATTCCCTGGGGCGACGCTCCATTGGCTGTGCGTTGGTGCTGGCAAGGCAGGCCCACCTGGCGGTCCTTGCGCCGTGATCCCAGGACAGGGGGGCGTCCAGCGCGAGCCTCGTCGTGTTCTCGGCGCCAGTCCCGCTTGCGGGGACTTCTGTCACGCCTGTCAACAGCCCAATCAGCCCGGTGTTGGTTGAAGAGCCGACGATCCGGCTCGCATACGGGGGCAGCAGGTATGCGAGCCAGGTGCCAGTGCGCAGCTTATTTTGGCCTGCTTGCGCCCTCGCTGACACAGCCGACGAAACTTGAGGAAGAGTGCTGGTCTCTGCGGCTCACCCGTAATCTTCCTGGTCTCTGCTTGGTCGGGGTTAAAGGTGGTGCTAGTGACGACCACGGTCTGCCCCACCGCCCACCCCAGGGCCGCCCCGGAGATGCTGAGCGACGCCGAGCCGGCGGCCGCGGGGGCGGCCAGGCGCGTCCAGCGGCGCGAGACGCGGGCGCCGTGGAGGGACAGCGTGCCGCCGTTGATCACCGCGAGCACCTGGCAGCGGTTTGCGGCCACAGAGTGGGGTGGGGACAGGAATTTGCAGCCGTGATGCTTCGGTGCAGAGGGTGGCCAATCAGGGTTTGCAGGCCTGAGAGGCAAGCATCCCGTAAGAAGCAGCAGGGGCCAACTTTGCCTCACAGACTTGAATTGGTCAATGTAGCATACCCCTCTGCATGGATGCCTGAGGGCCGGGGCACCAGCAGCAGGAAATTTGCCTGAATCCACAAGTTGCGCTCACCTTGGACCCCAGGACCAGATCGTTGCTTATTGCCAGCCCCCTGGTCTGCCTGTCGCCGGCCAGCTTGATGGTGGCACGCGTGGGGTGGGGCGCCTCAGGGCTGCCCGCCTCCAAGCGGCCGGTGCCCTGCACATCGGGATGCGATTGCGACGCCGGCAAGTTGCAAGAGGTGCTGCCGCTGAGTCATCAATCTCAGCCCGTTCTTAGGGCAAAGAGGCCAAGCACTGAAACTGCGAGCAAATCGCCAAGCGCATTGCGCTGGCGGCGCGTCGCTCGCCCACCTGCACGACGATGTATGTGGCCGTGAGATTGACGTCCGCCGCCGACGAGAAGCTTGCGTTGCCCTCAATAAGCAGCAGCCCCAATGGCGGCGGCGACGCGTCGATCACGAGGTTCCAGCCAAAGGGGATGGACACGTTGGCGCCAGGCGCGGGGCCGTTGGTGGCGGCGTGCGGCGTGCCGAGCCAAGTGACGGGGTCTGACCAGAACAGGGTCCCGGCGCTGTGGGAAGGTTCGTTTGAGGGGGGTGGTGAAGGGGCGCATGTTTGAGCACAGGGCTGTGTACCCTGCAAGACACAGCGGGGTCGAGCCCCTTTCGAAGGCTGGCTGGACCAGCCTAAGCCTGCAATCCGCGTCGCTTGTGGTTGCTGTGTGTTCCAGCGAGTGCGTGGCGGCTTAGCGCTGGTGTTTCATGGGCCCAAACCCACCGGTAGTCTGCCTGGCCGCTGCCCATGAGAGGGCATCCAGTCTCAGGGCATGCCCGTGGGACGAGCTCAAGGTAGCTGTCTTGGTCTCCAGCAACAAAAAGCTGTGATTTCAAGAACAGTTTTAAGAACAGGCCAAAGTCATTGTGGGACAGGAGTCATCAGGCATGCGGACATGTGTGCTAAATGCAGCAGCCATGCTTGCTGTGACTGCTGCATGCAGCCAAGCGCTGCGGCGAGCACGCACGGTCTTCCTGTCGTGCGTCACGATGACTCGCATCATATGGTGGCGCATACAGCTGCAACCCAGGGTGGGGATGGTGGCTTGCGCCAATATCCCTGCCTCACACGCGCACCTCTGCCACCGTGGCGTCGTATGTGGCATTGCCGTACCACCACCCAAGGGGCGCGAGGGTGCGGTTGTAGTACGTGGACCCATGGCGTGCGGCGCTGAGGTTTGCCACTGGGTCGACAGGGGCGCCCAGCAGTGAGGGGGTGTTGTTGACATTCATGTGATGGTATATCTGAGGGTTTGAAAAGGGTGGGGGGAAGGTTAAGTGACAAGGCCCAGTTGCTTTGGGGGTGAGTGGTATGTGCACACGGGTTTGAGCGGGCATTCCAAGCTGAAACCTCACATGAGGCCGGAGATGCAGAGCAAGCAGCGGGCGCGTCATCCGCCGGTGCATGTGGCAAGCGGGCAGCTCTTCACCTGCGGCCACTTGACCAGCATCTTGAGCCACCCGCCAGCAGTCGTCATGATGTCCGGCTTTTGCAGCCGCAGGCGGGTGGGATTGAGCTCGAAGGGGGCCGCCCAGTGGAGCCAGTAGCGCCTGATTAGCGGAGCCGCATCAGCGCAAGGGTGGTGTAAATGCAGACGCTCATAGGCTGTATCGCAAGCAGCCTCCAGCTATGTGCATGGATCAGGCGGTGCCAAGCCCCCCCTTGGCCGAGACAAGGTCTTCTTAGTGCTGCAGCCCTCACCCCTTGGTGGCGGCCGTGAACTGGTACCCCTGCTCATTGTATTCCGTAAAGTGCACCGTGCTGGTGCGGTTGGCGTCACTGGTCACCAGCAGGTCCCTGGGGCAAGGCATTCGCGCAGCGCACGAGTGAGTCGACAGCAGGCGCGCTGGGAACGCGAGAAGCAGTGATGCATGAGGCGCGGCCGGCTGGGCGAGTCGCATATGGACTGCCAGAACAAGGTTTGATGCTGGAACGACATGCACACGCAGGCATATTTAGGCTGGCCTGCAACCGCCACAGAACTCCAAGACGAACCTGAACTTAAGCTCTGGAGGCGCATGATTGTTGAGCATGATGCGCCGGAACGACAGCTGGGGGCTGCACACTGCGCCCTTGCCCTGCACGTGAGTGAGTGGGGGAACAAGCGGCAGCCGCTTCAAGGGCGGCAGTGGGGGGCGGGGGGGAGGCAGTGGCAGCTTTGGAAGCTGCGGCGGCAGCACGTCTTGCAAACAGCTGCAATGTAGGCACACTCCTGAGCTCGTCAAACAATGTATTAGAGTGTTGGATCCGCGCTGAAGCCTCGCAGCATCCCCAGCCATCCTGCATGGCTTCAGTTGGGGCAATTCATTTGATAACAGGCTGATTTTGATACCAAACAAATGACGCATGACCTCACCGCCCCCAGGTAAACGCAGTCCCTGTCGCCAAACATGCCGTTCTCCACATCGGAATGGAAGCTGGCGCCCGGGGCCGGCAGGGTCCACCCGTGGTAAGAAGCATTTGGGAGGAGCGCCCCCGCCGGCAGCGTGGCTGGCGTCAGCAGGGTGCCGTCAGTGTCCACGTAAACGCCCTTGGGGGGGGGGACATGGTAATGTCGGATCGAGGCACGGGGCACAGGCCAGGGGTTCTCAGAGGGCGGCGGGGTTCAGGAGCAGTGCGTTGCTGAGTTTATGGGAGGAGTCAACGCAATCCATTGGGAGTTTGAGATGCGATGGAATACTGGTACGTGAACCACAGAGTCGGCCAGCCACGTGACTCACCTGGTGGCCATAGCTCCAGTCTGCCAGGCGGGGCGGCACGGCTGCTGACTGCAGGAACTTGATGCCAGACAGCAGTGTCGTGGCACCGCCCTTTGGAGGACGGGAGGTAGCAGACACGGAAGGTTTGCGACGGCTGGATGTTGCAGCAAAGATGCGTGGTTGCTGCTGCACGAGCCTGGGTGCCCGCTGCACGTGCTGGCTACAACCCTGCAGGCGTGCCACCTCTTCACCTGGTACGTCTTGCACTTAGCGCATGCCTCCAGGGCCTGGAATTGTGGGCCGGCCTCCTCAGATGTGAAGCCAACAAAGGTGACGTTGATCTGTGCAGGGGGTTTGCATGTGATGTGGTGTGACGCATTGGTCCTGAGTGAGTTGCTTGCTCTGGTGCAGGACCACGCTTGAGGCTCCCGGCACGAAAACAGCACCTCTTGTGACGTCCCCCCTTTGAACCCAGGGCTTACTGCGCTCAATTGGGCGCTGTGCTTGGGATCTCCCATGGGAGGGCTCTGCGTCAGTAGGCCCCGCACGCCGCGGCTGCTGGGCCAGGCGCCCGCGCTGCCAGCGCGACCGACGGACGTGCGCGTGACAATGAGCGCGTTGCGCACGCCTGTGGTTGGCACAGTCGGGGCCAGCAGGTGATATCACACCAGCGCAGGGAGTGGAGACAGTCAGTTTGCTGAGATGCAAGGACCGCACCAAAAGGGAGAGGTACAGCGACATGCAACGCCACGGTTCTAGCTGTACATAAGGACCAACACACGGCTCAGCAAAACACGCTGCCTTCATCATGACGCACCTGCCATGGCAATGGGCGGTATACTACCGTTGCGCGGCCTGTCGTCCAAGATCCAGGCAAACTCGACGCCACCGCCATGATCTTTGCCATTCACAAGGTGCGCTTTGGGGCCACCGCCGCAGTCGGCAGCCGTCAGGTTGGAAAAGACTACTAGGCCCACCTGCAGTGATGCCGTACATGCATTGTGAGCAATGAACAGAAATAAGTTCTTCAATCAACTGGGTCTTTTTCCAAAATATGTTCTTTTGTATAAAGTAGGGCATTCTGATTGTAGGCCTACCAGCCCAAGCATCTGATGTGATGCGTGCAGCTGCCAGCATCAAATCTTGCCGGTCGCACAGGGCTCGGATTTTATCAAGCCCTCGTGAGTGCTGATTGCCTGTTGCTGGTTGCAGGTCGACCCCTCATGTGCACAAGGATATCCTTCCAATGCACAAGCATACACAATGCTGTACAAACCATGCGTATGCACCTGGGTGGCGATTGCGCACTTCATCCCATTCTTGTATGTAATCAGCCCTTTGAAATCAGCCGTGACCTGCAAGACACAGCAGAATGTATGGTGATGACAGGAGTGCAAGCTTATACGATCGGTGACGAATTTCTAACCTCCTGCACGCAGTGATGTCACGCCTTTGATAAAAGGCGAGCCCTCCCCGTGAGATGGTCTTTCGCAGGGACCCTGTAATCATGCACCTGATCGAACCGATTGTTGTTGCAGGGGTCCAGGCGGGGGTAGTACTCAGGGTGCACTCTCAGGCCGTAAAACATGTTGCTGTGTGCCGTGTTGGCCGAGTGCTCCCCCAGCGCGTGAACTTGGGGCAAGAGGTTGTGGTGGCAGAGGTGCCCTCCGGATTGCTGAGGAGCCGGTACCAGAAACCGTAGCCGTCGGAGCCTGCGTGGTTTTGGTGAAGTTGTGTGGGTGGACCAGGCAAGGTATTCGTGGGTAAGAATGAGGCACTGTGGCTGTGTCATGTAACTCGCATCAGGGCCATATGGCCATCCGACATGGAATCAGCATTTGTGCGGGGGCACACGTGTGACCCCTGCACCTGCCGCCGCGTTTCCTCGGACGGTATTATTGGGGTTGGTGATCCAGAACGTGGCGGGCGTTGTGTCTGTGTTGAGTCCTGAGTTCGTCCGCCTGGATATCAGGCAGGGGTGGGAGTGGCAGGTGCAGAAAGCGTGATACTGAGTAAGCACAGCCATCTAGCCTTGACAGCGCACGCTATACACCAAAATACATGCGGAAGAGCTGGGCACGCGTGCTCTACTGCCTGCGCCCCCGTGCACCTTGTCATCATTCCAAGGTTGCCCTCGATCACATTGCCGGTTTCGATGCCGTCCTCCAGGAAGTAAGCGTGCCCAAAGTTGTTGAAAGCCACGTTGCCTGACAGCAGGACCCTTTGCAGGTAGTGGACATGCACATGAGGTAAAATAGAGGCTGGGTCAATCACTGGACAACAGCTCCATGGAGAGACAAACGGCAACCCCGTCATCCATTCAGTGGCCAGTTGCGTGGAGAAGCTCGCAGATGTCTGAACTTTGCCCCAAACGATGCAGCAGGCTGACCCAGGTGCGATACATGTAAGCCTGGCCTGTGTGTGAGAGTGTGCATGTGTGTAAGAGGAGGCTTGCCTGTGTGTGCCGTGAATGGTGATGGCCCTCTGGAACGTGGTGTGAATGGTGCAACCCTTCACGTAGGAAGAGAAGGCCGTGTCGTTGTGCATGTGGAAGTGAATGGGATCTGCGATGCAGTAGCGGTTGGGTGGTAAAACCAAGCCATGTGGAGGACTTTGGACGGGCTTGGCATCCACCCTACCGTTTTGCGCCGCAAGATGGGAGGGCTGGTGCAAGCATGCGCAGACCCAAGCAACTGTGCGCCACCGTCTGATGCGCCCGTGCATCTATGAGCTCTGAAGCACTCACATCTCCCAAGCCTGCGAGCAGAGCAAAGGAAGGGTGCGGCGCAAGTGACCATTGGCAGCCGCAAGGACAGGCGTTACGAAACCAGCGTCCATCCCCTGGACAACAGCAGACACAACTTCATCCCGGCATCAAGAAGAATATACTCATGTGTGCAAGCAATGAATGAAGCAGCGGCAGCGTCAGGCAGCCCTGCCCTGCCGACCTGAAGGCCTGTCCAACCAGAGTGAGCTCCACGTGGTCCAGGCGCGCCGTGGCCCTGGGCGCACCCATCGGGCTGCTGACCAAGATCTGAAAGGAGAGCGCACCAGTGAGCGTGAAGAAAAAGCAGCACGCTTGAACGTGAATGTTTGGTTCAAAAGGTGACATATCGCGTTTGTCATCAAATTTTGAGTGGGAGGGCATTGAGTCTATCTTTGATGGGTCTGGTGCTCCCTGTACCTTCCTCTCCGACCCTCCATCGTCATTGCTGAGCGGGCGGCGAGCGCAGCACACAGCCACCTTACCCCCGCCGCACCCGCCAACCCCAGCTCACGTGTGCGCCGTACATAGTGTCCGCACTGGAGGGGTCCCCCATCACACGGACGCTGCGGTTGAGCACCGCCACCTCCGCCCTCATGTCCAGGACGTGGCCGCGGTCGTCGCCGGCAAAGGTGAGGCGCTCCCCCAGGTGCGTGAAGCGCAGGGGCGCCGACAGGCCCAGGCGGGTGACGGCGGAGCTGGGGGAATGCGGGAGGAGGCGACGAGGCGGGTGAGGCCGCAGGTAACAGGTATGGGTTGCAGGCTGCATGACCGAGCGAGCGTGGCGCGGCCATGTGGGTCGAGCTACGTACCAGGGCGCCACTCACCCACTCACCTATCTGAACCGCCCACAGATCCATGCTGCGAGATGCTTTTGAATGGAATCACCGCCCCACACACAGGGCGTATTCATGTGCACACACAACGGCTTGAACTCACTCGCCGGTGCCCTCCTGGGTGATAATTGTGACGAGGGCGTCATCCACCTCCTCTGGGTAGAACCCGCTCGCGGCGATGACCACGCGGTCACCTTTAAGGGGGTTCAGATTCAAGCAAATGTGTAGGTGCAGGTCGGATGGGGGTTAAGACGCCTCAGGTCGAGCAGACCGCACGCAGGGCAGAGCCGCCCGCCCGCTTGAAAGTACAAGCAGAGTGCTGCTGAGGGCCCGCTGGGCTGCCGCAGTCCGCACCTATGTCCCAGTTGACCGAGCCCTGCACCACGATCTCGGTGGCGCCCTCGGGGGCGGTGGCGTTGAGACGCGTCCAGGCCGGCAGCTTTGGGCGGCCCCTCAGGAACAGATTGCCGTCACGCACCGCTATGACCTTAAAAGGGCGTTGCGAGGTTTACAAGTAGGATCAAGATTGATACCAAGGGATAATGTGCGCCCAGGGGCTTTGCGGGGCGCAGGGAGGCTGCTAGCTTGATTTCCATGTGGCATCACACAAGACGCCCGGCCCGAGCACACAGGCCTTCCGATACGGTACATCCACCGCCCTTTGGGCGCCGGCCGCACCTTGGCCCCATACAGGGGGAGCTCTCGTGCGTCTGGCGGGCCGTGCAGGGTGATGGTTGCTCTCCCAGGGTAGGGCGCGGCCTCGGAGCCGGCGGTGAGGTTGCCGCCCTTCAGCAGAATGTAAGAGGCCTGAGGCGTTGTTAGGGCGGCAAGGAGATTCAGGGGGTGAGCGGATTTGGGGACACCCTCATGAAGCCTTGGCAGTTCGCATGGGTGTTCCAAGCATGCTGCTTGTGAAGTATTTGATCATATTTTTCAGGACATCTAGATTGCCATACATCACCTGTAAGTGTATCTCGTCTGTGGCCGTGTCGTCAAATTCGAGGCTGCCCTCCAAGACTACCGCGACCAGCACCGGCGGCGATACGTCCAAGACCACTCGAGTGCCTGCATGCGCGTGTGTGTGGGTCCTGTAAGTTGCCCCGCCAGAGCAGCAGGCTGCGAGAGGGCATGAGCTTTGTCCTTCGCCTTCGTTGGCTGCCTGCAACAAGCAGCAGCAGTGCATCGCTACAAGCACACAGGCACTCACCATTGACGGTCTCAAGAGCACGCACAGCCATTGCTGGTGCTCACCAGATGGAACCACAACGCTGTCGCCCTCTGAAGGCGGGTCGCCGCCGCCCCAGGTGCTGCGACGAGACCACAGGTCAATGTAGCGGTATGACACCTGGCCAAATTGGACCAAGGGCGGCAGGTTGGGCGTGACTGGCTCAGGACGATCGATTGCAAACGCCGGCACAGTGACCCATTTTGCCACAGCAGACATATACAAAAAAGGCCACAGAATTCCAATGGTGCACAGCAACATTTGTACATTTCTTTTGACGGGAAGGCAAGCAAAATGACTCCTCTGGGGCCATTGCACGGCGTCTTCTTGCCTGGTATGATGTGTTCGCTGCAGGGGTGACGCTTCCCGGAGCCAGCTCGTGCACGGCCTCCCCCCAGCCCTCAAACAGCACCCTGACCCTCAGCGCCACTAACGGCTTCGGAAGCCCAGGGTTGGCGGTCAAACACTCTATGGCAGTTGCGTTGACCAGCGTCGCGTTGCCGCACGGCAAGGCCCCAACCCAAATCGAGACGTTGCCGGACGATTGAGAGGGGAACGCGCCCGAGAGGGTGACACGCGTGCCCCCCTCGGTGCTACCGCGGTTAGGTGTGGCGGACCAGAGGCGCGGGGTGAGGGCCGGGTCGTAGGTAAAGTTCAGCAAGGGGAGCGCCTGCTCATCTGCACCCTGCGGCGAATAAATGGGAGGCCCGGGGCACACGGTGGTGGTAGAGGGCGATTTTGCGGATGAAACCAACTGCCAACCAGGTGCACGCGCCGCCAGCCTGCTCCCTTGCACCCAGCGAGGCAGCAACCCACGCAGCAGGCAGCCGCCGAGCCAGCCGGCTAGCGACGCTGCAGCTCACCAGCGTGGGGGTCACATACAGCGGTGCGCCGCCAAACGCTCCGGCGCTCGTCACGCAGGTCACGTTGGTGGGGGACGCCGCCACCACCACGCAAGGGCTGCCGCCAAAGCGCACCGCCACGTAGGCGGGGTTGCTGCTGAAGCCTGCATAGCAAGGGTGGAGGGTTTTGAGTGGAGGGTTTTGAGTTGTCCGCTTTCCAAATCTGCTTTGAGCTCTCGAGGGTCGCAGCAGCTCATTACAGTCAGGCAAGGAGGAGAGTGTGGACAACTCAGCTGGATCACCTGCGCCTGCAATTGTGACTGTTGTGCCGCCTGCGCCGCTGCCGGTGGCGGGTATCAGGCTTGTCACATTGAGCGGGACGCTCAGCACGGCCGCGCGCCAGCCGCAGCCCAGGACAGGCGCGCACACTGCGGTGGGTGCGACGGGTGGTGGTGCATTGCGGTTCATGAAGTCGGGATGGAAAGTTAGGATCACGCAGGTCAGCAGGCTGAGGTAAATATCAACATAGCATACAAAAGCGCCTGCACAATCCAAGCAGGCCAGCCCGCCGACAGTACGCACCCCATGCAGTGTAGTTTGCTGCCGGCAGGTCGACCGGCAGGTCACATTGCAGCACTTCCGAGTAGCTTGTAGCATTCAGGGTGCTGTTGAGCACGGTCGCTCCACCACACTTGAAAAGCGGCCCCGCGACCGCCGCGCCACCGCCACTTCCCGCCTGGAATGTGACGCCAGCTGTGCTCGCCGCCCCGGCCCCAGCCGGCGCCGCCCAGGGCGCTCCGCCCCCACCGCCTGCCGCCGCGCTGCCTGTGCCCTGCTGCACGCGCCACGACAGGGCAACGCGGCGGGTCCCGTTTGCGGTCGCCGTCGTGTTTGCTGCTGATACCACCGGCGCGTACGCTTTGTCAAGGGTGTAGGCGATGGTCCCGGCTCCCAGGGTAGTGTTGGTCGCAGGGTCAACGACTTTCAGCTGGATTGTCAGCTGAAACGTGGATGGTGTCGCCTTGGCAGTCGTCAGGCGCCCGACTGACACCACCGCCCATCCGGCCGCGCTCGCAGACACCAGGGCCACCGCCAGCGGCGCGCCCGCAGGCGTCGCACCCGAGATGGACGCGGCCGTGACGGCCGCGCCCGGCGCGGCGGGCGCCCCGCTCTCGTTCATCGGTGCGAGGCCGAAGCCCGTTATGTTGATGAGGGATCCCCCCCAGAAGCTGCCTCTTGCCGGCGCCAGCGACGCGAGCCGCACCGCGTGCGCGACCGGCAGCTCCCACGGCTGCGGCGCCGGCAGTAGCGCGGCCGCGGGCGCGGGCGGCATCATAGCAAAGCCGCGGCCTGCGACCAGCACACGCAGGACGCGTACACCAGCCGGCAGCGCGGGCAAGTCACATGTGACCAACCCTCTGCCGCTTCCGTCCACGTCGGCCGAGATCGCCGGGCAGGGGACGCCGCCCAAGGTTATTGAGTAGTCCGAGGTTGACGCGCTGAGGCGGGTGCCGTTGAGCGTCAGGTTGCCGCCAGATGTTATTGACGCCAGGCTGGTGCTGCCTTGCGGCGGCGCGGCCGACGAGAAGGCTGGCGTGAGGGGACTGGCATAAAAGTACATGCAGGCGCCTGCGAGAGGTTGAGGGTTGATCAAAGACATCGCTAAGCCAGCACGCGGGGATCACAGAGGCTGCGACGGAGCGGGAAGTGTCAGCGCCAGGGATTATTGCGGCAGGGGCCAGTCTGGCAGCAGGAGTCCATGATCAAGTGCGGGCAACCCAGCATGCAGGCTCAGCGCACCCGGTGGGTTGGTGTAGGCGGGCGCTTCCGAGGGGTCCAGCGGCGGGGCCGCTGGCGCGGCGCTGGCGTTGACCGTGGCGCTCTCGCAGTTCATTACAGCCGGGGCGCCGTTGACGCCGGCGGCGACGGGCTGGGCCTCGCCGGGGCGCGCCAGCAGCAGCGCGGAGGCAGGGATGGGCGTGAGGGCCTGCGAGTCGGTCACCGAGGGCGTTCGGTGCGGGAGGGAGAGCCGCTTTGGATACTTGCCTCAGCTGCTCAATAAAGTGTCATGCTTCCATCCACGTGCAGTGCGTCGCAATGCACGGATTGTTGCAGAGCAAGCCCCACCCTACCTCCCCTCCGCCTCACGCGCATCCAAGTGCCAGCGGCCCGAAGCAGCAGGGCAGGAGTTTCGTCCTCCCCTCCCCTTCAAGACAACTCACAGCGGTGGCGCTGCCCCCGTTCCAGTTCACAGCCAGCGAGGCCCAGTCAGTGACCTCCAGGTAGTGCACTTGAGCATTGTGGTACCCCACGTCAAGCAAGCTGGGGGAGGGGGCGCGCGGCGGGATGGGCGTGGCGGACTTTGGATGAGGGCGGACGACACAACCGTTTCTTTCCATGCTGCATGCTTGGGGCGACTGCCTGCCGACGCGGGCCCAGCTGTTCAAAGTCGCCACTTGGCCGAGACCGACATGCCCCAACATGGCTTGCCCACGCACATGGTGAAAGGGTTTGGGCCGGATGAGGTGCTGCCGGCCAGGCGGCCGTTTACGTACAGCGCCGCCAAGTCGTCCGCAATGAGCCGGAACGTGAAGTTGGCGGGGGCCGGGGCCACAAATGAGAAGGAGAAGCGCCCCGCCCAGAAGTCGCTCTGGCCGAGGTCGGGTGGGGGCAGGTAGCCCCAAGTGCCGCCGATGGACGTCTGGAGTGCAGTCGCGTCTGGTGGGGTGTGGTGAGGCGGCGGATGATTCGGCAGGGTGTTGCGGGGCGCGCTGCTGCTGCCGCGGTGGTGGCGTAGTGGCGTGCTGCCGGAGCCTTGGCAGCAAGGAATAGCCAGTTCAAACGCTTGCCTGCCTTCCACGCCAAAGCGCCCCTCCAGCAACACCCTTTGTCCTGCTGTGACGCCTTGTTCAAACTCACGAGGAAGGGTGTAGGCTCTGAGGTCGGGCAGGCTGTAGGTGCCAGACCCCAGCCGCCAGTACTCCGCCAGCACCAGCCCCGCCACGCCGGGCACCCTGCACCGCAGCTCCCCCGCGGCAACGGACCCGTTCACGACCTCGCACCGCCGGCCGCCCACGAGCACGACGTTGGCGGCCGGGCTGGTGGCGTTGAAGCCGGCGCCGGCCGCGCGGAGCGTCAGCTCGCCGCCGCCGGCGGCGCTGCCGGCATTGTTGAGGATGGCGCCCACGCCCGGCGCCGCGGTGTAGATGAGGGCGCCAGAGTCCGCGGTCGTGACCGAGAGTCCGCCCGGCTGGGATGCCGTGACTGTGTATCGTCCCGCCGGCAGCCCAGCTGGCAGCATGCAGCTGACGGCGGTGTCGTTAGCCGCAGTGACGTTGCACGGCCAGGCGGCGCCAAAGCTATCGGTCAAGGCGACAGCAGCAACGCCGCCCAGGCGGGCACCGAGCAGAGCAAGCGCACCCGCAGACGAGGCGCCCGCTGGACCAGAGGCAGGGGTTATCAAAGAAAGAGAAGGCGTTGCAGCCCACTCGTAAGCAAAAGAGCAGGGAGGGTAGGGCCGCGAGGCGGAGGAGCTGTTTGTCGCTGTGTCGTTGGACGGAAAGGTATCATTCGAGGCAGCAGCCAAGGTCGCGTTTGGCGCCGCGCAGCCGTTTGTGCGGGGGGCGCGATCGTCTGCCCAGCAGAAGAACTTGGACAAATCCGAGGTCAACAGGGGGTCACACAAAACGAGGGTGATCAGCCTGCCAGGACAGGATTTGGGTGGGTAAGGGGTGATGGGGATCAGATATGCAGAATATTTTGTCTTGAAAGCTACACGCACGTGGAGCCATAAATAGGCTCCTGATTAAGCTGCTGAGCAGATGAGACATATCTGCTTGGGCACTGCAATGCTCACATCACCGCCCTCCCTGCCTCACACACTCTTGCATGTACCAACACCGCCCCAGGCCGCTTGCCATCCAGCCCTGACTCACCCTGCCGCCGTCTGCCGGGGCGCGACCGCGCGAGCGGAGGGGTCGTCGGCGGTCGCGTCCGCGGCGACGTGGCGCCGAGTAGTGCATGCCAGGCTGTCGCCCTCTGGCGCAACCGCGACCACATCGCACAGTACGAGGCCGTTGGGGAAGGTGGTGCTGACGGGGACGCGGATGAAGGCGACCACGGTCGAGGCGTTTCCCGGGGGCGCGAAGCCAGAGCCTGTCGCGAGGCGTTGGGGAGTGTGTGCATTCGCTTAATGATCATGCACGCACCATTGGCAAGGCGGGAGCGGCTGGCTCCAGATGTATAGAAATGGGAACGCTGTGTCCGCCTGCACCGCGTGTGCCGGACAGAGGTCTCATGCAGGCCTCCGGCCCCCGCAACTGGCCGCGCTCACCTGTGATGTTGAGCATCGTGCCGCCCCCGATGCTGCCCGTGTTGGGCGTCACCCCCGTGACGGCAAACAACACTTTGATCGCGGGGCTCGGCAGCACGTACATCGTGCCACCAGGAACCTGGAGCGCCAGCAGGTAGCTTCCCTGGCCAAACTTTGACCCCACGCTGCACTCCACATAATCAGTGGTGTCGCCCCCGCCTCCGGCGGCCGGGCCGACACAGGGCACAGCGGCGGCGAGGGCGGCGGAGAGGGTGGCGTACGCTGTGGTCGGGTCGGCGGCAAACGCATCGGTGGAGAAAGAGGGCAGCAGGGAGACGCGCCAAGACGGTGCGTCCGACACATTGAGGCCCCCGCGGACGGTGAAGCGCACTGTGCCGCCTGCAAACGGGTAACGTGGTAGTGAGTTCAGCTGGCGTAACAAAGTTGAGCGTGCAAAACAAGGCGCTGAGGCAACGCTCTGCTGAGCGGCCCGCACTTAGCGCGGCTGTGTCAATATGCAGGATGACATTGAGGCTGCTTGCTGGGTGCACACGGCACACCTGAGAATGGCAGGCTGGGTGGTGAGGGCGCCAACAATAGGTCAATGCCGGGGCCCGCCTGCTGAACCATCAAAGACCGCTCCTGGACGCTGGCGTTTGAAGGCAGCGCCGCTGAAGAGCCGTCGGCGGCCACCACCTTGTTGACGGGTTGAGATTGGGCGCATGCAGCTGGGGTCGAACAAGCTGCACGTGCCTCTCCCAGCAGGCTAACTGCAGGCATTCAATCAAGATACGGCGGACGCACAAAGTGCTGATACTTTGTAAGCGCATGCGCCCACACTGCCTTTGATATGATCAGTTTGCAGGGGTTGCGGAGGGCTGGAGGCAACAAGTAGCAGGGGTGCTGATGAGTCATCGCACCTGAACATCAACTGTCGCAGACGTGTTGCCCTGCAGCAGACGCCTCCTGATCTGCTGCTGCTGCTGCTGCTGCTGCGTCAGAGCCCCGCCAGGGTACAGCACAACCAGCCGGCCGTCTCCACACGCCGCGACAGCGCAGAGGATGCCACCAACGCTGACCCGGTTGGCGCCGCAGAAAGTGGGGTCGAAGCCGCTGCCAGCGACCGTGAAGAGGGTGTAGCCGGTGTCATCCAGCGTGCGAGGTGCCGAGGATGACGCGTTGGGAGCTGAGGAGGTGGTGTTGGATCCAGCGCCAGGGTCTGGGCTTGCTGATGCATTTAATTGTCCTGTAACGTTGTCACCATTCCACAGGCTAAGCCAGGAGATGGAAAGGGTCAAAGCCTCGACCGCCAGGTCTCGATCCGAGGACGGAGAAACCGAGGCGCCGGCGCCAGCCCCCGCAGCGAAGCCAGCGTGGCCCTTGCCCAGGACCGTGACCGCCAGCTGCCGCCTGCCGGCGGGGAGCTTCGATGCGTCCACCTTGCATCGGAGCCGGAGGAGGGAGGGGTCGGCGCCGCCGGCGGGCGCAATTGTCGCGTTTGCACAAGGGCGGGAGCCCAGGGTGACCTCGTTCTGAGAGACGTTTGGGGCGAAGCCGTAGCCATCGATAATCATTTCCTGCAGGGCGGCAGGCGGAGGGTTGGGGTGTGCGAGTGAGACGTGCGTAGTCTGCAGGGCACTGCCCTTGCGCTGGCCTGGCCTAAGCAGCACGCAGGCATATCTGACGGCTGGGCGCCAGAGCGAGGGTGTAGCCTTGCCTTGCGGCCACTGCCATGCCGCATGCGCGTAATCAGCCGCAAGCACGAATTGGAGCTCCAACATGCAATTTCTTCAGTTCCAGCCCCCACCTGGTCTGTGTCAGCCGCGTCCAGGATCGTCGGCTGGAACGAGGTTATCAGGGGAGAAGCGTCTGAGGCGAACCTGAAAGAGCAGCCCGCCCCGCCGTCGTCCGCACACGCCGCGAGGATTCCGTCCACCTCGAGCTGGAGGCCGTCTGCTGACGCGGCCGGCAGCCGCAGCCACTCTGCCGTGACCGGGGCGATCAGGGCATCGGTGCTCGCGTTCACGAGGGCCGAGACGGAAATCTGGGGGAGGGTGCCGTTTGTGGGGTCGAACGACGCGACGCGCAGAAGCGGGAGGTCCGAGGAAGCCGGCGGGAAGGTGACGTCCCAGATGAGGGCGCTGTCTGTGCTGCCAGAGCGCGAGACGCGGACACCTTGGGGTGCGGAGGGGGTGGGCTTGGGAGTGAGCAGCACGTGGAACAAAGCGCGTGTCTCTCACACAAAGCGTGCTTTTTGCAAAGGAGCCACCATGTTGTCGCCTGGAAATGCATTAGCCCACACACACCGTCCACTGTTCTGCCCTGCACTTTTTGTATTTGAGTGAATGGCACCCTGCTCTGTGATGGTTTCCACCAATCCCATCCCGTGAGCCTGGATGCTCCAGCGACAGCAGGCACTGGGACGCTTTTGCTCAACAATGATAATCCTGATCCTGTCCCACCTGAGAGGCCTGGAAGCTTCTTGATTGCCTCCTCAGCCGTCGCCTCATCGTCTGTGATTCGCACAGTGACCAAATCACAGTACCCCGGGGCAGCCAGGGTGAAGCTACCATTCAACTGCCCCGACGGCCGCTGAGTCAGCACCACCTCCATGGTGGCTGCGTCAGGCGCGCCGGCATTCGCTCCAGGGGCCAGGTCGGGGCGAAGCAGGGCGCCGATTGGCAGGGGGTTGGGAGCGCCGCCGGTGGCGGCAGATGGGGCGGTGGGGTCTGGGGAAGCGGAGGGCAGCCAGCCGCTGCGCCAGGGGAAGGTGTAGCCGTAGGGGTACGATACCGTCCACCGAAAGCCGACTCGTGTGCCCAAGCGCACACTGTGCAAGCAGGAGGCAGCCGACAGCGGGGTCAGGAAACGAGGCGGCTCATGGGCGTGCTGGAAATCATGCACGGCGCATGGCCGGGCTGGCATTCGCAATCATCCACCAGTGCTCGTCAACTCACATGCTGGGGCCCTCGACCCCTGCAGCGCACCTGTCCCGCGCCACAGACGCGCCGTAGGGCCCTACCACCGCGGTCAGCGCTGCTGCGCTTGCGTTCCACGGCAGTTCACTGTAGTTGTACCGCTGCGGCGCCCCGCCCCCATTCGCACTTGGCCCCCCCTGCAACCAGAGCGCCCAGCGGCGCACGCGGGGGTCATAGCCGGTCACGGTGACGTTTGGCGTCACCGCGACCGCCGCCGCCGAGGTGTCGGCGCCGGGGGGCGGCACAAAAGGCGCGCTCGGCGGGTAGACAGGGTACGACGGGTACGTGGCAACGTAAGCGGACGTCGCGGCGGGCTTGCCGGCGGTCCTGTTCGCAGGGACCCAGACAGGGTTTGCGTATATGCAGGTGGCATTTACATCCGCTGGGGCCGGCGGGGCGGGCGGGGCGGGGATTGCTGCGAGGACTGCGGTGACGTTGAGGGCAGATACCTGGGGCGAGTGGGAGGAGAAGCGTGCGTGTGTGTTGTGTGTGTG